TTAAAATTAATGCAGCTTTTAACCCTAACCTCTTCCTGAACTTTTGGACTGCAGCATAAATGCCAGCATGATGAGGTGGCTAGTGCTTCAACTTACTATCTTGCAAGATACGGGAGTAAACAAGCAGGCTTGGAAAAAATCAAAGTTCTGCATTATGAACTTCTGACATATCATTCTGTGCTTATGTAATTGTTATGTTTCTAAACCATCACATGCTTTATCCACACCAAATCCCTCAAGCAAAACAGAAGACTCCCAAAAAACAAAAAACCTCTAAGCACTACTATTCTACTTCTTCATACAGCAAAATGTATCATGACTAGTGCTCTGCTTCCTGTGAGTAAGCAGTAAGAATTGTGAAACTAAACAATTAAGAAAAACCATTTCAGTGTAGCATACTGATAAATTCTGGGGAAAACAAACAAATGAGAAATAGTACAAGAGAAGCTAGCTTTTGTCAGTCACTGAATTAATACATTTAGTTAGGAGTACAAATGAAACTCCAAGTCTCCTGAGTCCAAATATGAGAATAAAAAAGCAGAGGCAATAAACAACTTAGCAGCTGAGAAAAGTCCTGTCTTCTTGAATTATTAACAGTACTTCAGATTCACGTGACTGACACACGCATAGCTGGGCTACCCTATAGCTAGGCTTGGGATTCAAATAAGTTTAGCTTCTTTCAGTTTCTCCTCTGCTTGCATCCTGAAATACTACTCTTCACAGTGTCTCAAAAAGACCTGGTCTTCATCCTCTTCTCACGCTGCTCTGAATTTATTTCCTGTAACCTGAGGGACATGCAGAAAGAGAAAGAGGATGTAGCTCACACATGCACATCAGCTGTGTGCTTAATGGGAGGCTAGAGAGGAGAGAGGAAAAAAAATAAAGGACAGAAAGGGAAGAGCTTGACGCAACAACTCCTAAACAGACATGGTTATAAAACAGACTTCATAGCAATGAAAGAGCAAGGATCTCATATGCATGTTTAAAAAGTCACAAAATACAACAAATCACTGATGGTATGTTAACTGTTCTAACAGAGGAATAAAAAAGCTAACCTCTGTGTTTAAGGCAAAAAATATATATGTACATAATTACATTTTGTAAGATCGTATCGTCTATTTAAAAAAATACAACTTTAAAATACAACATGAAGCTACCCTTACCCATCAGTGTTGCTAGAAGACACAGAGAATACATCTCCTTATCAACTTGCTCTTGCAGTTCCTTCGACGAGATTTTACTAGTCACAGCAACATCTTCATGTTTCATGGCATGGGCTGAGTGTGCTGAAGTAGACTGACTGCCTTCTTCTTTACCTTTCAGAATTTCTATAGCAATTCTATCGCCATGTTGCAAAGGGACAGGTTCGTTCTCCATGCCTTCTTTGGGAGGCAGAAGCTCTTTAGGAGGAAAACCATAGCGAATACACTGCAAATAAGGAGGAATGTTAAATTCTCTAGCTATGCTTTCCTGGAGTTCCAAGTATGTGGTTGTGCACTTCAGGGTAAGCATCGACTGCCTCCCGTCATTTGTTGTTATCCGAATTTTCTTTTCTTTTGTAGAAGTTGGAGAATAAGGGGTTTTTGTTGGTGTAGCAGGAGCAGACGATGGCCCATCTCGCACAGCCCCAGGAGACACAGTCCTAGGTTGCCCTTTATGATCCTGTTTTAGTTTTTCACTTTTCCGTTTCTGCATTACAGAAGCCTGTTCTGCTATATTCTGTTGAATAGTTCTTTCAGTCTTACTCATATTTAACTCCTCCTTGTGCAAAGTTTTTGTCTTCTGTCCAGTCAGAATAATTTTGGTTGGAAGTTGTGACTCTAGCTCTTGTCCTTGTACATCATCAGCTCTTTGAGCGTGAGCACCATCAATATTTACAGGGGTATAATCATCAGGGTTCTTTTTGGCAGTTTGATGCAATATTGTATTGACAACTTTCTGAACAAGAATCTCACTACCAAATTCGCCAGGGAAGTGTTTGGTAACGAGTTTCATCGCAACGTCATACACATTGCTGTTCAAAGACGTATCACTTTCATACTGGAACCAATAGACTGTCTCTCTCACCACTCTTCCACCCCACTCTAGAGTAATAGGAAAAGCTTCAGGGAGATTATCATACTCTTTACCTTCCCAATAGTGTTTGAATCCACAGCCACATTTGCCACCTGTAGATCTAGTATTAGTTCTGTCTCCATCCAAATATAAAACAGATCCATCTTCTCTGACACGACGCACTAAGTTACCATGACACCAGTTACAAGCAGTCAAACTACTTAGGCTATAGTCTGGTACCAGCACATCCTTTGCAGGGTTATAAGAACACACCAGGCTGTTCAAGGGAAAACTATAATTTTTGTCAGGCCTTAGCTGACCATGGGTACTTTTTGCCAGATTATATAGTTTTCCCCCTGGTGCCAGCCACTCTGGAGGGACATGATGCTCTGAAAGAGCCCCACAGATTAGACATCTATGAAGGCGGTTGTCCACCACCGCTTTTTTGGCAGCTGCAGTTACTTCTTCAGGTTGAACTCCTATCACACCAGTCCTTCTGTAGAAATACTGATGTACATCGGCTACAAGACTGGGATGAATACCATGTTTACTCATGAAAACCTCCTCCATTGCAGCAACGAGCCTCATCAAGTACTTATCTTGCAAACTTCTGTCTCCTCCGATAACACAACCACCATCCTCCTCTAACTTGATGTACTTTTTGATGAGGTCCTGAGGAACTCCCCAAGCTTTAGGAAGTAGCTTCCTAGGCAGTTTAGGTAAAGCAGCACCTTTTATTCCAACTAGAGGAATATAATGATTACGTCCTGAGCTACTCCATGCAATGCAGATCGGTTTATTCAGCATGCCATCTTTTCCCATGCATTTTTCTAGGGGTATCAACCCAGGAAGGAATGTAGCTGAATAATCTCCAGAGCTTCGCATTCCGCTCAGGGAATCTAACAGGATGATAGGCCGGTGAAGCACATTGGCCAGACCAAAGATGTGAATATTTCTAAGGCCCATCGGCACACCTTCTGGAGGAACAAACAAAGGGTCACATTCGTTGATAATGTCCTCCCACTCTGCTGCGTCAATAAAGTCATGGAAGAGCGCCTTGTAGTGACTCAGATTCTCCTCAAAATGCTTCTTCAGATTCTCTCGCAGAGCATGCCAGAACAGCTCCCTGCCAACAAGCGCCCGTGAGACTGCATGAACTAGGCAGTGGCCATCTCCATCCACGTGGACCGGAATGAGGCACTCCTGACTGTTGTTGGCCTTCTTGATGTCTTCCAGAGTGTCATGCAGGTAGATGAGGCTGCCAGAGCGGTCCTTTCCATACCCAATGGTTTCAACGTGCTCCGGCTCAATGAGGAAGGCGCGGTCGCCCAAGAGGGAACAGTCGAAGATGTCACCCTGGTTCATCTCAGTGAGGAGCTTGGCTTTGCCGGTTTGCTTATCCATGCCATAGCGAGCCAGGATGGGGGCCAGGAGCTTGCAGTGGTAGTTGGAGAGGCCCATGACTTTGACGAGCTCAGTGGTCCTGCGGGGCGGCCCGGCGCCGCTGACGCCCAGCAGCGCGCTCCGCAGCAGGTTGTGCAGCACCAGGTCGGGGTCCGTCACCTCCTCCACGGCCAGCAGCTGCCGCTGCTCGTGGCGCTGCCCGCAGTCGGTGCACTCGATGCTGGCGCTGCT